GAAGGGCCAGGCGTCGGGGGCTAATGCAGTCGGTTTTAGGTCGGCTCTAAGTGGGTGGGATGGTTCGCTACGGTTTTGTGTGGTCTTGTATGGCACTATTCGACGCGACTGTCATGGGCACCAGGCATTCGTTGGTGGGCTGTTTGCCGAGTTAAAAACTTGGCCTTTGGTCTGTTGGTGGGTTGTGCGGTGTGTATGAAGTTTGCGATGCGTGATTGTGTGTGAGATGTATTTGGTTTTCATGGTCAGGTTCGATCCTTGCTGTAGTAGCGAAAACTTGCCGTGAAAGCCTTTTCAATATGGTGGGCTCCGCCTTTGTTTGCAATGGTTTCCTTTGTTCTGTACCCTTTCGGTGGCATCCTTACGTTCTAACTGCTGAGTTCTATCGTGTGCCTTCCCGTTTGGGAACCAAAGGGTTGGCATTCGATTGACGCCATGGCACTGCTTGTGGTACACTATGTTAGAATAATAGACCAACGCTAGAGGGGGGGTGAATAGTGTTTGATCAAAGAAATCGCGGGAATTAAAAATTAAAAGAGTAAGGAGCACACCGAATTTTACCTTGGTTCACCACCATTTGTGGCTAATCCAGCCTCCCGAGAGACTCTCTCGAGCTACACTACTATCTCGTTAATCTTAACGGTGCTTAACAAACCCTTAAAACTTGAGAGTTCGAGTCACACGAACCTCAACGAATTCTTCAAAGGAAACAACCCTTCCTTTGAATCAAGCGAGAGAAATACTTTCTCTCAACGTGTCTAAGAACACAATTTCACTCAAGAACGAGACTCTCTTATAGAGTAGATAATGAGTAAACTAAGTACACTTGCAAGAACGAGACTCTCTTATAGAGTAGATGATGAGTAAACTAAGTACGCTCAAGAACAACTCAACCTTCACACAAAATGGCTCTAAAAATCTATGGAAAAGAATGTTGTTTGAATGCAACCAAAATATGTTTATTGTGAAGTGAATTGATGAGAAAAGCAGACCCAAACACCCCTTTTTATAGTGCCAAAATAAGCTCCAACGGACCAATGCATTAAAGGGGTGATTGGCTTGATTTATGGGATTGAATAAATTTGGGATCTAAAGGATATTGGCTTCCCATCGATGTTTGGAACTTACCCATCGCTGGTAAGCCAATTTTCCTTCAGTTTTGAAGCCAACGGTTACCTACCCATCGATGGGTACAAGCTTCCCATCGCTGGGTGGGAGGTTGACTTCCAAACAAGGAGAGAATCAACCTTAAATGACTTCCAACGGTCATGCCTTCCCATCGATGGTTTATCCTTACCATCGCTGGGTTCCCATCGATGGGGTAAAGTCCCCATCGCTGGGTAAGGTCGTTCTGCCTTGTGTTGATGTTGGACCAAGGCTTTAACAGCGATGGGTAGAACTTCCCATCGTTGTTTGGCATGGTTCTGGAACTTGGTTAGGCTGAAGGACCGCCTACCCATCGATGGGAAGTTCTTCCCATCGCTAGGTGGGTGGTTAGCCAAAAACCCATGGTTTTTGCCTTAACCACGGCCTAGCCAACCGATGCAAAAACCGACCGAAAAAAACAAAGTTCTCCAAAATAAAAACCAAGTTTTTAAAACACTTATTTGAGGTATTTGTATAAGAAATCAAGTGAGACACTTTAAAAACCACGTCATTTGGGTAGAAACTACGGCTACCTAAGTTTATGCCGTTTTACGTGGTTTTTGCCAAACGACCAAAACCGAAAGGTGGTTTTTAAGATGTTTTTGTTGGAAAACTGTTTAAATATGCCAAAGGGTTAAAAACAGTAATAAAATGTTGAAAACCACTTGGTTGGTTCGGATACAAAAAACCAATGCCGATAAACGAAAGCCAAACGCCGGTTTCTGAAAGCCGAACGCTGAATGGCTTGGTTTTTGGTTTGGGCGAACACCAAGTGTTTTTAATGACTTAAAAATGTTTTAAAAACATTTATGATGTAAGAAATGCAATGAAAGATTTTAGCCTAAAGAGCCAGTGCGTGAGAGTTGGGTCGGTCTTGATCACGATTATGACCGACTCAACAATGAAAGATTATTAATAAATAAATAATAAATTAATCAAATTTGTTTTGATTAAAAATAATTTATTGTTGGACTTTGGGCCGAAATAATATGTGTTTGATATCCAATATCTTAATCTGGATAAATCTCATAGAGATAAATCCAATATGTTGACTAATTGTGTAATCTTGGTTGGGAACCTGAGTACAAACCCAAAATCAGTAATAAATGAATAATGTGTTTATGATGTAAACTTTAAAATGATTTATTGAAATAAAGCATGAGAATAAATAATATGAATTTAGTATGAGTACCTTTTTAAGTAAAGGTCAAATAAATCAATTTTCACTTTGTCAAAGTCAACCACCCAAAAATATGATGTCGGAAAAAGTATTACAAATAATTATGACAAGTATATCGTTGGATAGAGCTCGACTGTCTGATCACAACGGTGCAAACGGATTTCAATTTGGAGAAAGTTGGAGCAAAAAGTGTACCCCGACTGGAACCAAAATTGGTCCCAATCAGGGAACTGTTTAGACGGCGCCTCCTTCCCCACTACGCCGATCGCAGAATTGTGGAGTCACCATAGCTGTCTTCTTCTTCTTTCCTTCTCATTATATAAGAGAACCCAACCTTCTCATTTCTTCACCATTCTTCTTCATTCTTCTTCCTAAGTGTTCATGAAAGCGTGAGGAGTGTTGTGGTGCTGTCAATTTGGTGTGAAGTTGCTGGAGTTGGGAGAAATACTCGCTGGAAGTTTCACCGGAAAATTTCCAAAACCTCCATTAACCTTCGAGGTAAGCCCGTAGATATATCTAATGACTAGAATGTTCATATAGGTCATTTCTACGTTCATAAATCGTCATTTGGTTGAGTTTTGTGTTTGACATGCTTGAAGAACTAAGAATCACAAACCTTGATTTTGATGTTAAAAACTATGAATTAATGATGCCAAAATAATATATGAACCTTGGAGAACATTTTTATATACTTTAATTGATGTTTGGAGAGTAAAAATGACATTTCCGCAAGTTGACTCGAGGTAGAAGACGATGAATAGTCAACTATCAACTTAAAAATCGATTATAGCTTGTTCTGCAGATTTTTTTGGAACAGAGCTGAGCAACAGTCGACTGTCAGAATGTGACAATCGACTGTTAGCCCTCTCTGAAGTTTGATAATCGATTATCAGAGTGTGATAATCGATTATCAGCCCATTCTGAACATCAGGCAGTAGATTATCAGAAGTGACAGTAGACTGTCTCCCTACACTATTGAAGAAAATGAAGCTAATAGTTAATAATTGAATTTCCTATCACATATTAATCAATTATTGTTTAGAAAACATGATTTTTGAACTATGAAATCCTATTTTTGATACCAACTAATTATGCACAATATAAATATGATTTTGTATAATAAAAATGATGTTTTTGGCATACAAAATACTATGTGATGCGTGACGGTAAGTTCGGGTGTTAACTGTAACACCCTAATCCGTCCAGGTCTGCAGCCCCTTCCGGACTAAAGTATTAACTTGGTAATCGTAAAAATTTAAAACTTTTCAAACACACTTTATTAATACCAATAATTTTTCATAACAAATACAGTACGGAGTATTCAACAATATTGCGAAAGCGAATTTAATTTTGACATATCATAAATCATTTCAAACTTGTCACATCCATCCCGACAATCTCGCCCCATCTGCTGCCAAGATCACAGTGTTCTTTCTGTTGTACCTGCGTGTAGCAAATAAAACACACTACACGCTCAGCGGTAAAGCTGAGTAAGCATATCTAATGCGTCGAACATCCATATAAACTGAATCTAAATTCATAATCAAATCATTTGATATCATGCACACAATGTTCATTTAAGACATTCACAGTTTTGGTATTGTTCAGTTCATATCAACACATTTTATTCAATTCAGATACTATTTCAATAGTGCTCTTAA